GTAGGTCACCATGACCTTGTAAACGTCAAACAAGGTGATTGGCCTCAAATTAATACCAGAGACCCTTTTCTTAGAGCAAGTATCTAGGTTCAAGGCGAATGCGTGAAGAGATCTAGAGGCACTTGGAACACCAATGCTGAGTTTGACCTTGTTTGATCATGTTGGACCCGAAGGTCAAGATCTGCAGACCAAACATGGACCACATGGACCACAAGTTTTGACACAGCTGATTTCATATGCAGACCAACCCATCCTGTGAATTTAGTGTTTCACGTTTCGTCGTTTTTTGAGATCACAGGGTGTCAAATTGACCCCACCCGAACGAAGGGTACTCAACCAGCCACCGGGGGCGTGTTGAGCATATCGCGGACTTCCGGCATCTTAGTTAAAAATAATCTCTGAAGATGTGGCACTTCTGTGTTGCGTATTTTCATTGGCAAACGGCGCCTTACTGATAGATGCTTTGAGGCAAATATATTTTGCGGGAGGAAGAACTAGTTCACACATATTTTTTAATGAATACTAAGTATATTCTATTTTCTTATCTTTATTGTGAACAGAGAGAATGTGTGTGCTACATCTATGTGGTGGGTTGAAATTTGTGGCAAATGCATTTCCAAGAGCCATCATACCGCACGTGGACAAGAAACTGATCGTGGGCTAGGAAGTGCTCGCTCCCTGAAATAATGCGCAATGCCGCCATGTTCCATGTTGGTACAATGCAATTTGGAGTTTTATTGGCTGCTAGAATTTTCACGAATATGCGTAACTTTTTTGCAGTTTGAGCAGATGGTTTTTGAAGGGTGAACGACAAAATTCTTACAGCCATTGAAAGGGTGACTGTAACGCGGTCCAGGTCGAATATTCAGATCCACACAGACGCTTTCGTGTCAGGGGCAAACGAGACTTTAAGAATTTTGATGCTTATTCTGAGCGAGCAACAAAGCTGATTATTATAAAAGCGCAAGGGGAGGGCTATACTGACCACATGCTCTACATAGGTGCTATCTGTTTTGGAGCATTGTCGCGTAACCACGGGTGCAGCGACTGAAGTGCACATGCAAGCGCCAGAGAGAGAGAGAAAGAGAGAGAGAGAGAGAGAGAGAGAGAGAGAGAGAGAGGCGAGAGAGAGAGCTAGGAGAGAAGAGAGAGAGAGAGGAGAGAGAGAGAGAGAGAGAGAGAGAGAGAGAGAGGAGAGAGAGAGAGAGAGAGAGAGAGAGGAGCAAGAGGAGAGAGGAGAGCGAGAGAGGAGAGAGGAGAGAGAGAGGAGAGAGAGAGAGAAGAGAGAGAGAGAGAGAGAGAGAGGGACTATGATAAGAAGGAATAAGGCTATTACTGCTGTCTTATCTGTAGTGTACATATCGAGGAACTAGGCTTTTACTACCGTCTTATCAGTTGTAATATGATCGCATGCAAAGACATATTTCGTATTGATCAGTAGACAACTAAATTTGGTATATTTCCCAAACAATTAGAGTGGTCCAGCTCTTAAAATCGCGGGAACTTTTGAACAGCACTATTCCAGACATTTGTGTTTGTCATCCCCTGTGTTTAAAGCCCTGAAACCGAGGTGCCATGATGCTATCGTCACCAGCGAAAAAAAGAGCGATTGCATTCTCCTATCATAACCATCTCTTGAAACGCCGAGTATTCACAATATATCCATAATATTACACCCTCAGTGGCAGCAGAACTGCCAGTCATTCCTAGACGTTGTGCATAAGTTGGCAAATCCCAAACGTCAGAGAAACCCCGACATGGCCACTGCACGAACTGGAAATCGGGTGATCAGGAGACGTTCTTGGAGAGGGCAGTGTTGTTCAAACACTGACGTCTTCGGTTAACCGAGACTGTATGCCTCTCGTCGCCTATTGAGGCTCCTCACTGTGCCATTTGGCGTGTTTTTATTATTACGGTGTTGTATAAGTTTCATCGACAAAACAAATATTTGGGGATGTGATTCGAGATAACTTGATTAAACGAATGGTTGATACTGATCTGGTTTATAAGCAATATAAGACTATAAGTACAATGCGTAAGGACTTCAAATCAGTACGCATGTATTTTCGACATCCAACAAATGTTTGGGGTCACGGAATTTACACCAGCCCCATTCAGTAGCGTGCCTGCTGTCTTATTCCCTTAAGTAAGAATTTGGTGGTCTTGCACTCAAAATTCGAGGATTAAAACACGAAATTAGACTCGGAATAATATCAAAGAAGTTAGGGTTAAGCGGAGACGCACGATCTGTGAGGGCGCTGGGATCCGGGCGCAGACTCCGGCCCATGCCATGCGACAAGGATGGCCTCGAGGATCGGACTCAGACTCAAGACACTACGAATTGGATTCGAACTCCGGCTCAGATCCTTATGGTAGGACACAAGACACTACGACGTGGCCTCGGACCAATGTCATTGGACTAGACACATGCTTGGTTTGAAGTTAAACTTTCTTTTCTTAAAAGGTTCAATGTTTTCTCAGTCAGGTCACGGCTGATATATCATTTTGAGTCGTCCTATTTTCACTCAGTACATTTTCTCTGACTCTCTACTGATCCTGACTTCCGGCCGATGCCCTTGACCAAAGGTGTAATGTGGTGACGACCGGCTGCATTCATGAGGCTTCTTGGAATTATTTCGTCATCAGGTTCTCAGCTTTGTTCTTCTTGAACAGCTGCCTAACCCACCCGTTGAGTGTCATTAATTCAGTCAAGTGGCACAACCGTCCGTATTGTCAGATACAGCATTTCTCGACCTACTTGTATATGATGTTGCACTTTTAGCACCAGATATCTTAAACTTTACAAAGGCATCTCAGCTTGTCAGGCTTCCAGCTATGCAAAATAACCGGCAGCGGGAATGTTGTCAGTTAGGTTGTCATACCAGACGATATTTCATTTCTTTAAAGGTTAAAAAGCATTCCGAATCCATGGAAGATCATTATGAATGGCAATGAAATGAATATGGGGGCCATTTCAAACGAGCCGCTTAATACCAGAATTCAACAGGTCTTCTCGTCATCATTTTCACGACCCTACATGGTTGGAAAATTGTATATTTTGAAGCCCTGTTAACAACACTGAAGAAGATTTCCCCAGTCTCAGTTACATTGTCACACCAGCCGTCAGCACCCTGCTACCTAGACGTGGTGTGACCGCAGAAACCGTAACAAAATAAAGGCGTGAAAAGAAGCCCGGCACCTAAGTGAGACCGCCGCATGCACTCGTCTGAGGGGTGCGGCACTGGAGACTGAATGTTCCACGTGCGTCGGATCCGGGTGGCAATGTCTGACAGGAGCGAGCATGGTGTACACATGGTGCGCAATGACAGCCTGAAGTCCTGCCACCACGGGGTTCGGACGGGTCCCGGCCTCCCGCTCCATCCCAGCCGCGGCCCGGACAGAGACGCCGGTCGCGGCCGCGATTTCTGGACGGGTCCCCTGACCAGACCCTGCCGCGATTCCAAGGATTCCGCTGCTCGTGATGGCCCCACGCTCAGCAGCCGCAGCAGGCTCGGCACGTTCCCTCTAGGCCAAGTTATCCAGGCAGGTGTGGTAAGCGATCGTAACTAGCCCGATGCGGCTCTGTCATTTGTTTTGTTTTAGCGCTGCTCCATGCCTTATCTGTGCGCAGACGGATGGGGCGTGCTGCGAAATGTGCACGTGCATAGCAAGTCGCAGGATTATCTCCTGGTCTGTTCGGTAGCTTTTGTTTTTTAAGAGGTTTCTCTTAGCACCGTGATCATTTTATGAAGTTTGGGCCTAGGCATCGACCGCATGAAAGGCGTGCGCGAGGCAATGAATGGGCCGTCCACAAATTACGTCACGCAAAGAGGGGGAAGGCGTTGGTGGAGCATAACCATCGCGTAGTAGGCGAGAGGGAAACAGCTCGGTGTTACTCTGAGGTGTGGCTGCAAGCCGCTCTCAAAGTCTTTAAAACTTTTTTATAGCTACGTTACCATTTGGGGACGTTACGTTTAACATAGCGTAACTAATGGAAAAGGATTTTTTACACGGCACGATCATTGCACCATCGGAGAAAGTTGGCTGAATGTGGCGAAAAATGTGTGGAATACCCAAAGCGAATTGCAGCCGAATGCATCACGAAAAAGAGCTGACCTATTTAATTTGTTTTTATTTATTGAGATCGAAAAACTGTTCTTTGGGAGAATAGTTCTGTTTTCAGTCCGGGGAAAATAACAACATCATTTGCACATCATGCCTCTATGCCTCAAAGTATGCAGTGGGAAATGTTATCGAATGCCATTGGAAACCATATCGGTCGCCTCCACGACGATCTCTGTCAGGCGCTGGAGTTCTCGTAATTCGGCTGCGCTGGCCGACGTGTGGAAGGGAACGCATGGTGAGTGATCATGGCATGTCACAACCACACGGGGGGCATGGAGCGAGACTGCGGCGAGGAAGGCCAATGCAAAATTTGGGTGGGCTTGTTAGAACTTTCTCAGCCCAATAATCTGTTATCGCTCCGGGTAGGACACAGAAGGTGGTGGTGATTATCATGTATATGCTTTGTGTGGTTAAAAGAGGCTATTGTAAAAATCGTTAAGTTTAGCTAGAGTAGGTGAAATGTTTCCTCCACGTGATTTTCCGGCTCGCTATTTGCTCGTGCTACTCATTATTTTAGTCACCAGTGGGTGGCAGAACCAGTCTGAATTCGCGGGGGAGGGAAAATCAAGCGTGCGTTCGCTTGATTAGTGCATTTGTGCATCGCGAATTATTACCCAAGGGCGGGTGTTTGGAGATGCAGTAAAGCAGAATTAATAGTAATTATGTGATTTCGACAGAATTTGGGCCCGTAAACATCTTTTATAGCAGGGGTGAAGGGACTCACAACATCTAATGACCGCAACCTTTAAAAGTGTTTCGTGACTTATGTATTTAGCTGGCTCATGCCTCTTGTCTTTTCCAGTGTACACTGTTTTCCATCGCTTTTGTCTCGTATGTCCACATGCGCCACTTTCGTCAATTTTTGTGAGCCAGTGTCCAAGCTGGGATAGACGCGGAGGATCTATTGCATATTGGAGTTACATGGATGGTTGCCTGATAGTGCTCGCGTGTTTGGTGAAAGTAAGCAAGGTTGATGTCACTGCTCATTTTCATCTGTATTAGTAATAAGATCTAGTCATCGGCTGAGATTCAATTTGTTTTGATCCGAGCCTCGGTGCTCAACATTTTGAACAATTGGAGAACGGTGAGTGTACCAGCGTTGACGCTCAGATGAGCTACGTACCTATCATTGATCTAATTGTGCATGAGACGGGTGTAGATTGTGGAGGAGAAATCATGTATTTTCTTTGGATCTCAAACAAACTGAAATTTTGGGGGTCTATAAGGTGGCACTGTAGTGTCATTTTCATGATTGCATGAGTTATTAGTTCTGACTAAAATCTGTGGACCCCCACCAGCAGTGTGGTGTGACCATCATTTGTGTAAATCATTGGAGTTCTGACAGAAGTAGGCAGATGTCATTTCACAGACACTAAACCTGCTGGCAATTTTTTCCCTTACTAGTGCCATTATTTTGTGATGGTCTTGCACATGGCAAACCTGCTGTGTCCCAGATATTTTTGAAAGTTTGTGCTTTTTGTCTGAGGAGAAGGCTATTTTCCTCATAAGCAAACATTTGTTTGTTCAGTTGGAGCATCTTTTTTGCCATGTTTTGATCTTTGGTGATAACATCTGTTGTGCTGTCAGTAGTACCTGAAATTTGGTTTTGGCTCTTGGGTAGAGAACAGAAGTTCTAAAATCATTGCTTGAAGGGAGACCAAAATAGCCAAGAGAAATATGCACTGTGTGCACAACTGGCACTGTGGGACATTCTTTAGCAGTAATTGACAATGAACACTATACACTAGCTGGCCTCAGTGATTGTCAAAGACCATTGAAGATCAGCTACTTATGATTATTGAATTTTCTACCTTCTTAAGTAAGTGCTTCCTTCTTGAGTGTATCCTTACATCTTCTGCACTGTGAAGCTATGGAGCTGAAAGAAAGGTGTGCACATTGACTGAAGGTGTGAGTCTCAGTTCATACTGATATAAACCAGTGCTTAAAATGTGGTGCACCTGTTGCATAAATCCCTACAGCACATTATGACAAATTTATGGTTAAATTGACATGCAAGCCAAAATGATATATGTGTATATAGGAACATGTGGGGCATGGTATTTTGTGCAGCTAGCTTTCAGCCAATATACAATCTTTCTCACCTAAGGGAAAGATGCTGGAGCATGTGATACCAACCCAGGCCTCTACTGACATAGATATATTTAATTTAATAATGTGTGTGTAGTTTCCTATTTAGTTGGATGGGACTCTAGCTTCTCCTCCTCTCCCCCCCCCCCCAACTTTGTTGATCAAATTCAGAAGAACATGGTTTGCACTATTTTTGGGGTTTAATGATTTCTTTGCCCACCATCTCCACAAGGTTATGTATAAAACTATGCCATCTGGGACATGAGACTGCTGCATAATCAGGGATTGAGGTCAGTATGGCAGGAGAGGGGAATTATTCCTCTTAGAGCAAGCCAGCTCTACATAGTTACAAAAATGCATTTGTATGGCTCAAAAAAGTTGATGTCAGTATGCAATATGGCAACTGGTCCTGTACTATGCTTTGTGGTCAAGAAATTGTATTACTGTACAGATACTTTTGTAAGTTATATGTGCTTTGGTGCCTGTGAACTATCTTTTGCATAAAGGCTACCTTATACCAATGCAGGTAACTGTTATTTTGGTGTTAAGGTGGTTAGCCCCATGCTAGGTAATGTTACAGATCTGGAGCCTGGATTTTGTGTTTATCTGGCTAAGGTTTTGCACCTAGGGAATGTTCAATTGTGTGCCAAAATTTCTGGGGTACTCTACACTTTGAAGTGCTCTTTCCTGGGCCCTGAGAAATGGTGGGTGGCTGAAATAATCAAATTGGATGCATTCTGGTGTGACCAGACATATCTTTTAGAAAAGTTGGGAACAAATAAAGGGAAGCTGGAGCAGCATTCCTTGGAGGTGATGTATGTATTAAATACCTTCTTGACTCAAGAGCTGGTCTTGTATTAAGTAGAGGATGTGAGTAGTTGCTTTTATAACTTACCATAGCTTTTTGGTTTGCTTGGTTTGCAGTATGGTTATATCCTCACTGTGACTTTTAAAAAATTGAGCACAGGGCTGTTCATTGCTTCAGATCATGCTTGATTTAAAATGTAGGCAGTAGCTGGCAGGTGATCATACCAGTGCATAATTTGACTGCAGTGGTGTTAAGCTAGTAGTTACCAGGGATATATGCACTATGTCTGCTTTCAGTGTGTGCAGAAGAGTGGACTAACTTTGTATGTACATCTAACTGTTCATCTGTTGGATATGATTAATGATATACTGTGTGTGATATTTGTGTTGTCTTGTCACCTGAGGTGCATTTTCATTGATGCAGATGATGTAGTACTTGGTAAATATGCCAATATTGATATTGCAATGTTTTCCCATGCAGGTATAACAATGTGCCAACATGATGCATCTCACATTTGTCCTGTATCAGCAATGTTCTTGATCTGCACATTAGCTCTGTTCTGCTTCACCAAGAAAATAGGGAAGTTGTGATGCATCTCAGGGTGGCTACTATCACTGAGCAGGTTTGCTAAGCAGTCTAGATACTCCAATATGCTTCTGCTTATAAAGCAGCCTGTAAGCTATGTTTGATGGCACTGATGTATGATCAGAGTTGTCCAGTAGGCTGGGGCCATGTGACCCCAATCTTCAAATCAGGTGTGGGCCACTGGGATAGCAGCATTGATTTTGAACTGTTGGGCCAAGAATACCACAGATGTGCAATAAGTATTGCCTTAGTATGTTACACTGTTTACACTGTCATGGAATGGGGTGGGATGGAATTCTAGGCATTTGTAATGTCATCCACTAAAGATACTCCTGTCAGAATCCACCCTCAACCTCAACAAGTCCCTTATTGCATCCATGTTATCCTCTTATGGAAACTGTGCTTGTGACCTGTGACCACATGCATGGTTTTTGTACTGTTGATAGAGGTTGAGGGGTTGGGTGGGTTGCACTGCAGATGTGCAAATAAGCATTTTCTAACTGTGTTACACTGCTTACACTATCACATTTTGGTCTATGCAGACACCATGATGTTGCATGTGTATGATTTTTTGTTGCTCTCCACATGGTGCAACTCATTGTCCATCAGCAACACTGCATACGCTGTTGTCTCAAAGCTGTGTGCCTTGTTGATTCTTGTGCCCAGTGATTGAACGGTCTCACCCTGCTTTCAGGTTCTGTTCATATGACCATTTTTTCTCAAGACTACTGGTTGCCGCCTGACCCCCAAAGAGCGCGGTCGGACGCGTCCCCGATGAGTTCACCACTGCCAAGCCAACCTTTCGGCTCCTTATACAACAACCAGATCTCGGGTGAGTGACATGGGGCTGTGCATTATATATGAGGTGTGCTGGTTAGCATACAGTCTTGGTATTTGCTGCATCATGACTATGACTAACCGAAACTCTGCATGTTTCTCTGCTCGATTCATGCCTGGGAAGACCTTGATTCCTGCCTCATATTTGCGCTGTTATGACTGTAGATTGCGTGTAACCTTTGGCGTGCAATTGAAATGTGTGCTCAGGGCATCAGGCATAAGCTTTTACATGCATCGATAATGCCCACCGAAGTATGGGGTATGTACTTTTTCATATCGTTTTGGGTGCCTTGAGGCATGGTAACCCGTTGTGGTATTATGTCGGCCAACACGTATTTGCTCGTCGTGATAACTCAGCTGGTTCGGGTGCATGCCTGCTGGTCCACCCACGCGTGGCGGGGTGAGTTCGAGTCGCTGTGGGTGCTCGCTACTTGCCTCCGACTGGGATGGCCTGCGGCCGGTGGCAGCGGCTGCACTTAGGGTCAGGTGACGTCCGAGCCGTGCCGAACATTGCGTTGTGTCAACCTGTCGCTGAAAAATAATGTTGACCTGGGATCTCACGATCGGATGGTGAGGTTACGCCACACGCAACTAGCACTTGTCTGCAGCCGCCGCGTGTTTCACCACGCACGTGGCGTGTGCGTGCACCCCTGCCCAAGAAGAAACACGCTCATTAACCACTAGAACCACAGGGCGATGTAACGTAAGTGCTCTGTTGTGCTGGCATATTGTGAGCCAGAACTCGATGGTGATTGTGTGCCTGTTGCACTGACCAGGTATTCGTCGATGGTACGTGGTTTCTCTGGCCGTTGCCTTACCTGTAGGTTTCGTGGTAAGATGTGCATTTGAGTTCGCACTCGTCGTATGTCGTACAAGCGGCACTGTGACTTCTTTGCTGGATGTTGAGCTGTGCCGGCGCTACCGCGTAAGATTGTTGTCAGAATTCCCTGCTGTCGTCACCAGCGAGCGTGTCGTGAAGTCTGCTGGTGTTCTCAGCCCACTGGCGCGTCTCCACGACCGCTGGTGGCCGCCTGTGACATGGGCGCCGCGTCTCTCCGGCAGGCATGGGCAGCTTGGGGCTCCAACAGTCGGCAGCGCGCGGCATGGCGTCACGCGGCTTCGGCAACAACGGGCTGCCGGGTCACGTGACACCGACGTCAGCGGGCTTCGCGTCCGGCCTGGTGGGCGGGCTGCCGCAGCCGGGCCAGGCGTCTCCCAGCCGCGGCCTGCTGCCCATCAGTAGCCGGGGCGGCGTCATCGGCCCGCAGCGACCCATCGGCAGCATGGGCGACATGATGAGTCGACAGCCGACACTCGGGTCAGTGGCGGCTCGGACGGCGGCGTGCGCCGACGCAGCCGGGCGCTGGCAGCCTCACAGGGCCGCCTTCCTGTTCTCGTGGTCTCGTCTGTGCTGCATTCTGTCCGTGATGCTGGACTGGAGTGGATATTCCGACCGCCCCTTCTCCTAGTGTTCGCTGTGTAGTTACTTTACTGTCCTGTAAGTGCGTCCTATGCCCCTGCTCTTCCTAGGTCCCGTTCATTCACCGTCTATCCTCCCTTCCTCTAAGCTGCTCTCTGTTTCTGTGTCGTACCACCTTGGGTAGCCGCCTGTGGCGCCGGAGCCGCAACTCTCAAGCAGGCATGGGAAGCTCTAGCTCTGCTCTTACCTGACTGCCATGCCATTACCACGCCTTCCTCGCTGCCGTTTTGGCTACGACAGGTGTTCCTATGAGTCCGATGGCATTGTCCCACGTGAGGATGATTTGCTCAGCTGGGAAAGCATTCGTCGCACTGCCGTACCCGAGAAGTCACGGGGCTTAAGCCTGGGTCCGTACCAAGTGTCTCTTGGTCCCCCACGGCAATCGGCGTGATATCTTCCGACGCTAACTGACATTTGGTGTTAAGTGCGTCGTTAATCCGCACCCACCCCCCGCCAATCGTCAGCCACCCCTCTCTTGCTGCCCTCTGCGCCGCTTTCATTCTGGTCCCTGCAGCTCTCTGACGCTATTCGGTATTTGCATTTAATGTCGGTTTTCCCCATCCCTCCGTCTGTAACATCTTCACGCTGGCGTCGTTCTTTCTCTGTTGCGCACTGTGGACAGCCATGCTGCCCTCTAAGTCCCCTCCATGACCCTGTCTTGCCGCCCCGTAGCAGCTGCCCTCTACCCTATATATGCTTCCATGTCAGAATTCCTTCCCTTGCTGGCCTTTGCCCATCTTTACCTCTACGATCCCACCTCACGCCGCTGTCCCGTGCTGCCCTCTGCCACCATATCATGCTACCATAGGACTGATCCTGCACGCCCCCGTGCGTGCCTTTGTTCCGCTCTCGGCTGCCTGACCAGCAGGCCCAGTGCAGTTTACTCTCGCATTCGTCAAATGTGGCGCGAAGTCTCGGTGCATCGTGATGGCTTAATCTGACGAGATGTGGGATCCAGCAGTGACAAGGACACTGTCCGACCGTTTACTAGTGTAGCAAAGTGCCCTGGTCAGAGCGCTGCGACCTCTCACGCCAGTGTTGTCACCCGACGCTCGGACGCGGCCCCGTGATGGCGTGCCGGCGGCTCCACTCACCCCGTCTCCGGCCGGCAGGGTGGGCGGCGGCCGCTCGGGGCTGGGCTCGTTCGGCCTGACGGGCCGCCCGCTGGCCGGCCAGCCGTCCATGATGAATGTGTTCGGTCCGCCGCTGAGCGGCGCCGGCGACACGGCGCCGCCCCAGCTCGACCTCTCCGAGTTCCCGAGCCTCTCCAACCGGGCGCACGGCGAGCCGCCGCCCAGCCCGGCCATCTCGCGCACACCCTACGGTAGGCGGCCGACGGCGCCGCGCCGCTGCGTCGCGGTGCTCGTGGTCAGGGGTGCCGACCGTCTCTTGTAACAGTCGATGTGTGTGTGTGGGGGGGGGGGGGGGGGGCGCAACGCCGAATGACGCTGCGTGTTGAATGTGTACTTAGATCCCCAGCAACATTACTCGACCAGGTGTACAACGGGGTATGGGTGTGCTGGTTCGAGACGATGATTGATGTTGCGTTTTGTCTGGCAGCTTCAAGGCCCTCTTTAAACCGCGACCTGGGTAAAAGACATTTATTTGCATCGTTAGAAGAAAATGACGCCGATTTTTTGCCATACATTGGCCTCTTTCGCGAGGTGATCGCTAGGCCAGCACCACCCCATTGTTCGCTTTGCAATAACAAATTTTAGCAGCATCGCTGCAATTCTAACGAATGTGGATGAGAACCGCTGCACCATCATTGAAATTCTACCAAATCAGCGAGTGCATTGACGGTTCTCTGGGCGAGTGGACATCGTGGTATCCCGCTCGGCTCACGGTCGTCCGCGCCCGTCCCGCCAGTCGGAATGGTGAAGCAGCAGACGAGCGAGTCGTCCGAGTTCACGATGTCGTCGGAGGACTTCCCGGCGCTACCCGGCAGCCAGCCGGAGCGGGCCAACCAGTCGGACCAGGGCATGGAGAACTCGGGCACGCTCGCCATCGGCGGCTCCTCTGCCAGTAAACAGCAGAAGCAAGGCATCCAGACGCATCCAGACGGTACGACCCGCCGCTCACGGCTGCCGCACGAGCGGCTTGCGGTCGGGGGAACGATATACCCGGGCGCAGTGACGTCATCAGATGCTCGCAGTGGTGCGCGCACCAGGCTGGCAGACGCGCCTAGACGGTTCGCGGGCAGTGACGGAGAGAACGCAGCGAAACGTGTCAGGGCGACACGCGATGGCGCATCGCGCGCGGCGAAACGCGCCCAGTCTGAGCGAAAAGGCGGACACAGGGGTAGGGTGGCATCCCAGGTGATAAACTTTGAAATACGAGGCTTTCTGTCATTATGCGACAGTAGAGTCGTTCTGGTAACCTGCTCACGGCCACCCGCTGGGCGAGCCCGCGGCGTCTCACCCGTCCTCCGCCCCCTCCCCTGCAGGCAAGGTGACCAATATCCCGGCGAGTATGGTGGCCGACCAGTTCGGCATGGTCGGCTTCCTCTCATTCATCCGGACGGCGGAGACGGACCAGAACATCGTGCAGCTGGCACAGGGCTCCGACCTCACTACGCTGGGGCTCAACCTCAAGTCGCCGGAGAACCAGTACCTGACGTTCGGCGGCGCCTGGGCGGAGGCGCCCTGCCGAGCGCAGGACATCGACTTCTACGTGCCGCGCGAGTACCTGACGAACGGCGTGACGAGGTGAGGATGGGGGGAGGGAGGGGTCGCTGGCGGCGCTGGCGGCTGCCACAGGGACGCCGGGCTAACGTGGAGCGCGTCGCACGTCCCGCTCTTCGACTCTAATTTGCTGCGTATAACGTTACCATCTTCGGTATCTGGACAAAATATCGACTTCGCAAAATATACGCACGAAGAATGTCGATTCAGTTAAGTGCCGACACGCAGAAGATCGACTCACGGAACGCAGTCGGGATATTAACACTGCGGACTGTTAGGCACGGGTATTCCCATGCACTTGACAAAGGGAGTAAGATAGGTCTTCGGAAAAAGTGGCGTGTAGTGTAAACATCACATATCACGTCTATTTCAGCGTTATTTGCTCAACAGGTAAAATGATTTTGTCAAATATTTTATTATGATCTGACCTGCCTGGTCACCCTTAACATCAGGCAGCCGAAACTAAACGTCATTGTGAACGTTCCGCGTCAATATTTGTTTTGTTTTATCTTGCTCTAGGTCATAAAGGGATGAAATGAGTTGGGGAAAGCTGGGAGTATTGGAGGGCAGTTGTTAACCATCCCATTTCGGCAGAAGGAAGTGGGGAAACACTTTCGGTTGGCATTGTGAATACGACCCCGACACTCTCCATTTTTGCGATAATTGTCGTTTTTATTGCTTGAGCAAAATTGGGGCTGTAAGTGGTTGCTCTATCCAGAGATTTGGAATGGGGCCCAAAGGGGCCTCCTATGACGCTCACAGAGCACTGGGCCGCGTTCCCCGCGGGCGAAGTACCTACATGAGTTGCTGCCTATGACGTCACACATAAGCAACTATACCTCAACCCTTTGGAACTGTTGTGACGCATGTACCCGTGACGTCATAGGTTGCGACATGTTGGCGGGGTTTGACAGTGGGGAATGCGGCCCTGGTATTCTGCTCAGGGCCCAGGTGTAACCGATCGTAAGCAGGTGCCGCCCCTTGGAGGGCATCGTAGTGGCGCCCTTTACAGGGTACTGCACCTAGCAGAAACATATGTGCTATTTTGGACCACTTTACCAGATTGCCAGATGATGCCATTTATTACTTGATTTTTCCCACGCCAGAGGCAGACTCGTCGCACATAATACACAGTCGCATAATTCGGAATGCGCACGGTTAAATACTGATTCTTGGTACATTTGTTTGAATCAGTCTTTGTTGTAAGCAGCACAGTGTTACTGAAAGGCATTGCCTGAAACAAATACTCGCTGCGCCGGCATTTCGCGTGTGGATAGCTAACGGTGTTGATATTGTGCGTGTCGATGTTTTTCCTGTTGACGTGAGCACTTCGATATTTTGACTTGGAGTCTCTTCACAACCGTCGTTTCATTTGATTGTTAGCCTTCCCTGTAGACCTGCAGACCGTTTCGGCCATGGTCATTGTTTTCGTCTTGGCCTCGTCATTTGATAATTTTTCATTGAATTTCAGCCTTCTTCTGATTTTCGGTCCATATTTTTCGTCAGAACGTCCATCGCGAGCATATACCACCGCAATACGTGGTTTGGCTGTGTTCTGGATTTTTCTTGTACCTCTTTGGTGTCGTATGATCGTTTCAATCATTTCAAATCGTTCAGACATTGGCTGTTTTTGACCGTGTCGTCCGAGACTCGAACTGATTCATGGCTGTGGTTACAAATCATCGCCAGTATCGATTCGTGCACATGGCCAGCCAAGTACCCCACTGACAAGCACATGGTGTCTCAGGGAAAAGCTGGCACAGATATCGCTAAGCCGGTACGGGGAGGACCTGCTGTTCCACATCTTCTACATGAACGCCGGAGACGTCCTGCAAATACTGGCCGCCAGGGAACTGTAAGTCACCGACGTCCTTTCAGCGGCACACTGTGATGCACATGACAACGCCTGTGCGCAGCGCTGTTAGTCGTGATCGCACGGGTTTATAGATCCCTCTCCCTTCCTCTTCTGGATAATCTAGGTCGTTTGACAACATGAATAATTGTTGGTGAACAGTTTACTCGGCTGGATTGTTTGTCGTCTGCGTACCATGCGCGTTTTTTGCTGATCAAATGCTCTTCTGATCTAGCGTACGTCACTCCTGATTGTCATCTGTAGGTCTCATATTTATAATTAGACAATCGGGGCATGTACAGAAGTGTTAAACAGGTCAGGTTTAGGGCAGATGCGGTGGACGCAACATCTGTTGTGACATTTTACCTGTTTTTTTCTCAAATGTAAACAGCGTGCTGCCAAGCGTATTTGCCTTGCTAAAGATGTTAAGGGAAAAGTCTGTGGGGATGAAGTTCACACGACAAAATTCGTTGGGCAAGTCCGTCGGACTAAAGTTAGTCGAAAAAATAATTTGACCACGTTGCTCAGAAGCTTGTCGTGTAAATTTAGGTGACGAAAGCTCGACGTGTGAAAGTTGGTATAAAGCTAGCTATCATCTTGGAAGTCGATGGCAAAGGTTTGTCGTGCCAAAGTTTGTTGAGGTTAAAAGGTTATTCGGGAGGAAGTTCGTGTTGAACAAAGGTGGCTTTGGCTCTGGTGGAATGAAATGGAATCCACGTGGCTTTGGTGGAATGAAATTAGGAAATACGTGTAAAGCTATAGTTCAACGGCGGTAGACCATTGCGTGCAAAAATAAAGCTTGGTCGTACCAAAATTGGCAGCGAATGGTATGTTTGCTTCTGTTGAAAGGGCGCTGAGTCTGCTGGAATCAGCTATTGTTCGGTTGGCCTTAAATTGTGGAACCACGTCAGGTGTATGTTAAATTGTTGGCAAAGCTTAGTTTACACAAAAATTTCGCGCGTTCTTGGAGCTTCAGGGTATATAAGATGGCCGGCTTTGTCGGTACTGCATACGCTTCTGAAAAAGCTGCACTTGGTATACAAAATCGTGAGCAAGGGCGTCTATTTAGACATACAATGGGCCAAACTGGGCTGCTACACATTGGAGAGGAGGGAGGCTATTAAAACCTACCACACGGCCCCTTTAAACGGTGTCGGGCCGTTTACGCTGAGCTAAATTTTAAGCCCTGGATTCTGGAGCCACGCCTTCTGGGAACGGTCTCCAGCCCTGGCCGATACGACTCAAAGGAAGCCGTAGCTGCGCGCCAAGGTCCGCGCAGCTCTCACGCGCATAACATGGCGGAGGGGCGTGCACCTAATGACGTCACCCGGTCCGGCCAGCAATCAATCACGTCCGCCTCACAGACAAAAGGCACCCCCTGGGACGAAAGACGCCGCAGGCACCGCGCTGACATTTGATTAGCCTCCCCGGAGCTCAGTGCGCCGCGTATCTAGAGTCGTAGGTGTGGAATTGTATGAATAGCGACAATAGAAAGGGCAGTAGCTAAAATGTATACAACTGGTATGGCAGGCATCTGCCTATTTGGTATGTCATTCTTCCAACCTAAGCAAACATTTGGAAAGAACGAGAAAGTTGCCTATTTGACAAAATCGTGGTAGGTCTGCCCAGGCCGGCCAGGCAAGTGCAGCCTTACCAGAATTCACTGTGAATGTGTAAGACATGCATACCTCGTAGGCCAACTTAGCACCAATTGATCGACATGATGCACATACGCATGTTTTTACTTTAAGTGTTAGTGCATATGCTAGGATTGGCAGGGGTGCCGCATGACCAGGGTATTTGGCGCGCACTGAAGCCCAAATAATCATCGAGGCTGCGGCAAAATCGCGGATCCATTATGGGCTTCCTGAAAGCGTAAAATACGTACAAAGTAAGAAAGTGGGCTATCGGTGAATGTCAAACACATTCTTTTTCGATTCTGGAATTGTCTCGCTGAAATCATTAGCGTCATCATTGCAGTAGCAAATCCGAGGACCAATGTGTATAATCGGTTCCAGTTTGCGGGGGTTTCCGCATCGTTATGGGAATACACGTGTCGGAATGCATATTTGAGTGTTGCGCACTAAAATTGAAGTAGACTTCACCGTATTGAAATCGGGCACAGGCCTGCGCCCGTTAGGCTACTGCGGTGTGAACCTTACGCCATGCATGAATTTTGCGATACGAACTTTATCCTATCCGAGTTTCTGCAATACGAAGCTTTGCCTGACGACATTTGCTCCGGACAGACCTCTTAACGAACTTAGCGCAGAGCGCGTACGAACTTCGCCCCGGACGAACATTGGCCCGTACTAATTTTTGCCGTAGACGAACTTTTGCCACATGAATTTCTTGTCCAGACGAGCCTTTGTCCTGTACAAAATTTTGCTGCAGGCCTCGCGCAGATTGACTTTTACGAAACGAACTTTACTGAGGGAACCTTGCTCATACGAAGTATTGCTCAATGGAATACTGTCATACGAACTTAAATCCGACCATATTTTGCCACGAAAGCGTTGTTGAGAAGGTTCAAGCGTGGAACATCTTATCTCCTTACTTTTCGAGGGCATTGGGGCTGCTGGTGCCCGCTGTTTGGAGGAGAGAAGTCACCACACAAAGTCCCAATCGCAGGAGGCGTAATAACAGGGGGCACGCCCCAGTGAAACCGCATACACGCGTCGCCAGTCCGGCGGTCGTCAGCCGTGTGACCGCGGGCGCATCTGTCGACAGCTATAACCGGGACTGGAGGTACCTGAAGGAAGACCGGGTGTGGATCACACGAGCGCCCGGCCTGCCCCCTATGGAGAAGACCAACACGTACGAGCGGGGCACTTACTACTATTTCGATGCGCAGAACTGGCGCAAGGTGGCCAAGGAGTTCTGCGTCGACTACGACAAGCTGGAGGACCGGCCCGACCGGCCCCACCACCCGTCCGCATTCCCGGGCACCCAGTCGGTGTAGACGGCGCGCCGACGACCGACAATTGGCCGGAGTCGCCCTCGCGCCACGCCCGCCCTCTATCCTCACCCCCTCTCTGTCTGTCTCACGGTCTCACCGGGCCGGCCCGGGCCGGCCGGCGGCCGGCGGCCCGTTCAGCCGCGCGCGCGCGCGCGCCGACGTGTCCGTCGACTTCCTCGCGTCCTCCAGCGCGCGCAGCCCGCGCCGCCAGCTTCAGTTGCAGCAGAACACCCGCTCCCGAGATCGTGCCGCCCAACGGTGGAGCGCGCGCGTGCGGGCACCTGTGATAGGGGGCCGGTGGGCGCGTGACGCGGCCCGCAGGGGCGCCTCATTCCCGGCGGGCCGCGCCCCGTCGGCGCCGCGCGTGGCGCCCGGGTGCACAGCTCGGCGCGAGCGCGCGCCGGCGGCGGCCCGGCGCTCGGCCACCGAACCCGTCACGCGCACGCCGCAGAACCAGCCGTCTCCAATGCTTTGTGATCTGCAGACTGGGTGATCCCGATGCTCTAGCCTCTACTTGGAAGCATTTATTTTGTAAGGCCGGTCCGGCAAGGAGAGCGACATTGTGTTGTATTTCTGTTGTGACAAGCAATGGCCGAGTGCTTGTGCTGGCAGCAGCGCATAGGCACTGTACAATGGTGTAATTAAATAAACATTTTCATCAAGACGCATCTGTGTGTATTTCTCAGCTCAGCCAAGTACCAAGCGTACAGTGCTTCCGAAATGCTTGGTCAGAAGCAATATCTTCACTTGCAGCACAAAAGTCATCGCCCCGATGAATAGACAGAGTCCACGGGAGATCTAAGCAAAAGCGTATGGAGCGGCGGCGTGAGCACCTGCCCCGGACTAGACTATTTCACCTCTTCCTCGTTGGTCGCATCGTCGTCCGCCGCCGGCTCGGACGACTGGCTGGCGCGACTCAAGAATATGACGTCGTCGGCAATTATGGACGTCACTGTGCTGGTGTTGTTGTACGTGTCTTGAACCTGGAGAGAAAGCGCATACGCGCACATAGATTTCAGCTGACCGTCAGATGCATGCAGTCCGTGGAGGCATGCCGAGTCAAGTCCGCAAATGGTAAAATGACGTCAAGACAAAATAAAGCTGACACATCAAATGACAAAGGAAGGCAGCCTGGCAAATCTGTAGCGGCTAGCATAACGGTCTGTGGTAACAGCGTTGTCACTACATCGACAATTAGCATACAACCCTCCCCCCCATTCGCCAGATCCATATGCCCCCATCGGACCGGCGCCCTCCCTATCCCTGGCTGACCGTGTAGTAGCTGATGCTGCCACGGACCAGCAGCCGCTGGCCCTTGGCCAGGTGCTGGTGCACAGTGTCCCGCAGCAAGGGCCGAAACACACTGATCCGGTGCCACTGCACATGCTGACTGATTTCGCCTGAAACAGTGTGGCACGTACTTAGCATTGTCCATCTAAGCACACAGCACATGCTTATATGATTAATGCTGGCTGACATCCACTGAACCAGCACAGAATGATAATGCTGCACTGAGCAGGAGCACTCAAGCTTTTCAGCTGTTTGCGTACAAAGTGCGGAATTTTCGGGTGTCGCGTGCATTCGTGCGCACGTGCGAGCATGCCACCAACCTTCCAGATGCCGGTGGTATGTGTTGGTGGCCATGGAGAACACCACCACTGGGTGCTCTTCAGTGCCACGCTTCTGGGGCGCCGAGCCCGCCCTGCCCAGCAGTGTGACGCTGTTGATGCCTGGAACCACCATCCCTGGTCAGGCTTGCTCAGGAATGGGGACAGCACAGCAGAGGGACCAAGAGTGGTGGCTCAGTATACTGAAAGTGTCAGCATGGCTCACCTAGGGGTGGCAGACATGACATGGCTGACAGGATTTCCAGCTGGAAATGAAATATTAGTATGTGGTTGTGTATCAGCAATCTGCAATGGAAGTAAAGAATGAGCAAACTTAAAATAATTTACATGGTTTGGCACTCTTATGCACTCCACTAAGGTACAATGTGCTGAAGCTGAACTCCTTGACACACAAAATGTTTCTATTGAAAGACAAATGACAAACTAAGATGCACTGCATGACAGATTTACCATGTACATTGATTGCAAACTCATGTCCTTGATAAAATAACCTTCCTTTGTACATTTACTTACTCTTTTCTCCATATGAATTTTGTGAGCATTTTCTGGCCTGTGATGCAACAAACTGAAATCCAAGTCTGGCAACCTTTGCTGCATTCCACTGAAAAAGACACAAATGTTGGTAGTTAACAACAACTTTGAGCATACAAATGGATATCCACCAGACATTTCAAAATGCAAAATGTTGTCCTGAAAATACAACTCTTAAAAATCAACCAACTCATGTATGCATCATGCTGCATGTAGGGACTATTGCATATTCCCACAGTGGTAGTCACATAAACCTCAAGCTGCCCAAAAGAATCAGCTTTCCTCTTGAGAAGCTTTAGACCACACGGCTGTGGCATAAAGCTGAATGTCACTGTGTATTTCTGAATGTTTATCATATAACAGGTGATAAAATGCTGGACTCAGCATGTTGATCCTATGTGGTAATGCATGCCATAAAATGGTTCTCATGCAAAACCTTATGCAAAGATTGTTGTTCTACAATTTTCCTTCCAAAACTGTAATGTAAACACAAAGGAAGGTCACCTTTTCACCATTTCCAAACTGGCCATCCAGCCCTCTCAAGAGTAAAGCAGAACCATCTTAGGCAGGGGTAGCACCAGCTGGCATACACTTACATCATCCATACGCTTTTCAGGCATGAGATTTGCTGCCTTGAAAAATAAATGTAACCTGAACATGCAGAAGGGTCTGCCAAGATGGGGGTTATGACGGCCTCAGGGTTTTGCAACTTAATGTAACCTGAACCTGCAGGAGAGGTGCCGAGATTCCAGGCTTCAAGATTTTCAACAAATGAAATATGAGCGTGCAGAAGAGCCAAGGAAGACGGGGATCACCAGGCCTCAGGGCTTTCAAGATTCCCTTTTTATATACCTAAAAATATGTTTAGGCATCTTGCAGCTTTAAAATCATTTTACCACACAATTTACGCAAGGCATTATAGATATTAAA